AATATGCAGGTGACATGACATTGCTTGTTAAAGACGAGGACTTGAATCACTTCTGTTGATGAAGATAAAAATATACAACCTTTAGTATTTACAACTCAAGGTAAAGAAAACAAAAATCCTCACATTGGCACTAATGAAGAACATAATGATAAATGGAGAAAATACAGAAATTGTCAAAGTTTATATCATACCTGCATCCACACTCAATGCTCATAGTAGCAATCTATCAATCAACGTTTTACAAGAGCCAAATCTACTGTAAAAGACGTCTTTAAACTTTTCAAGGAGAAAGATGTCACCTTTCAAACTAAAGTGGACCTGACCTAAACCATGGGATTTTCAGTCATCTTGTGTACGTGTCAAGGCTAGACAATGGTTAAGGAAAATAAAAGGAGAACTGATACCCTTGAATTGTGGTACTGGTGGAGAATACTGACTATAACTTGGACCGCCGAAGGAACAAACAAATCTGACATGGGAAAAATTCTAACCGAATGCTTCTTAGAAGTAAAAATGGCAAGACTTTGTCTTGCATTATTTGGACTTGCTATCAGGAGGGATCAGTCTCTAAAGAAGGACACATGTTTGGAAAAGCAGAGGGTTAGCCAAATAAGAGGAAGATATGGATTGAGATCTATCTGACATCAGCAATGATAGTCCTCATTCCACATCCTAGTCTGAATCTGGCTTGAATCTCTGAAAGTTCTCTGTCAGTGTATGGTTGCAGTAATTTTTGTACTGTTGTTGTTGTTAAGTGCCATGGAGTCAGTTCTGACTTATAGTGACCCTGTACAGGATTTCTGAGACTGTAAGTCTTTATGAGAGCAGAAAGCTTCATCTTTCTCCCTCAGAACAGCTAGTAGTTTCAAACTGCTGACCTTGTGGTTCACAACCTGATTCGTAACAACTATGCTACCAGAGCGCCTTTTTTTTTTTTTACCTTCAGTAAAACTTTACTTTCATGGGATCAGCCATCAACACTCATGGAAGCAGAAGTCAAGAAATCAAACACTGTATTGCAATAGGCAAATCTGCTACACAAGGCCACTTTAAAGTATTTAAACTGACAAAGATGTCAGTTTGAGGACTACAGTACACCTGACCCAAGCCAGGGTATTTTTAGAAACCTGATATGCATGTGAAAGTTGAACATTGAATAAGGAAGACTGAATAAGAACTGATGCATTTAAGTTATGGTGTTGGAGGAGAATATTAAAAGTACCATGGACTGCCAAAAGAACAAACCAATCTGTGTTGGAAGAAGTACAGCCAGAGTGCTCCTTGGAAGCCAGGATGGCCAAACTTTGTCTCTCATACTTTGAATATATTATTGGGAGGACCAGTCACTGGAGAAGAATATCACGTTTGGTAAAGTGGAGGGTCAGAGGAAAAAGAGTAAGAACCCCCCAACGCGCTGGATTGGCACAGTGGAGGCAGTAATAAGCTCAGATATAGAAATGATTGTGAGGTTGGCTCTGAATCGGGCAGTAGTTCACTCTGTTGTGCATATGGTTCCTTTGAGTCAATACTGACTTGATGGCACCAAACAATAACAACAACAATGGACTGAGATAGATTGGCACAGTGGCTGCAACAATGGGCTCAACCACAGGTACAATTGTAAGGCTGATGCAGGACTGGGCAATATTTTGTCCTGTTGTGTTTGGTGTCACTATAAGTTGGAACCATGTCTATAGCACTGAACAAAAATAATAACAACACTCCCTCTATAAGTGTTTAGAAAATATATAGAGTACTTCTTAGTGTTTTATGAATATCATCTGTGAAAGTTTTTCAAAACATTGCTTACCAGTCCTCATCCTATTCCTACTGCATGGTGTGCAGTACATTACTCTGTTGATGACTATTAATTCAAACTACATTTGAAAATTATTGTGTAATAAAATAGAGAAAATAGAAAGTGTTTGTATTTTGAGTTTGTATACATGGATACCTTTGGATCTGCTTATCGTCTCTGAAAAAGCATACCCAAAGTTGATAATAATAGATAATAATATGTTCATAAGCCAAATAATATTACCTCAAATCATAGAAACTTTCATGAAATGAAAATCTCAAAATATTTCTTAATATGTGATCGATCTCAGTCTAAACAATTCAGAAAGTAGTGTTTCCATCTCTCTAACTCTTCTGTGAAGAATTCTGGATTCTTTAATTTACACCACATCAAAACCTTAATTTTTCATCCGACAATTCTGTTGTGGCATTGTAGGATCAGCATTGGACTCTGAACCTCAAGGTCAGCTTTTCAAACCCACCACCTGCTACTCGGGAACCCTGTACAGGGTCCCTGTGCATCAGAATTGACTCGGTGACACTTAACAAAAACAAAAACATCAAAGGAACTCAAATTGGGTTCCTTTGGAATATTTTTTGAATTTTAGGAACAAAAGTACTCTAAAGTGTCAAGATCAGGACTGTAGGGTGAAGGGATATGTTTCCCAGAAAAATTCTCTTGCAACCCTTATAGAATGAGCAGGAACATTGTCATGATGGAAAACAATTCCTCTTCATAACTCTCTTGGCCTTTTTATCCCCAATACAATTTTCAAAGTTTTTTTAAAACTTCTTCCTAATAAGCCCCCATGATCGTCCTGTGTCATTTGATAAACTTTCTGAAGATTTAACCTGTGCGATCCCCCAAAAAATAGTCACCATAACTTTCTGAGTTGACCTTTCTGCCTCAAATTTTAATAACTCCACAGATCTTCCTGAAAGCTACAGTTTTGACTGGAGGGTTTTTGAAGGCACCATAAGGAGTCCTGGTATGGTTCTGCAGGATAATGCCCTGGGCAACAAGGTTGGTTTGAACCTCTAGGTCAGTTGTTCAAATCTACCAGCTGCTCCCCAGAAACCCCGTACAGGGTCACTATGAGTCGGAACCCACTTGTTGGTACTTAACAACAACATAGGCGAGTAATACAAGTGCATCACTGAGAGAACTTATCTTCAATCATCCATTGAATACAGAGGCATATTTGAATGTTTTGTTTCTCATCAACCTGTGCATGTGTGAACTGGAATCCTAATAGCAATACTTTTACACTTACCCACATATATGATGTGATTATGAAAATAACTGTAGTGGTAGTGGTGGTGGCTGTGTGTCACCAAGTTGGTTCTGACACATAGCAACCCTGAATAGGGTTTCTGAGGTTGTAAATCTTTACAGGAACAGAAAGCCTCATCTTTCGCCCATATAACTGGTAAATTCAAATTGTTGACTTTTCAGTTAGCAGTCCAGCTCATAATCCACTATGCTCCTTATCAAAGAAACTATTTGTTGTTGTTAAGTGCCATTGAGTCGGTTCTGACCCACAGAGACCCTGTATAGGATTTCTAAGGAGCAGCTGGTAAACTTGAACTGCCAACCTTATAGTTCAAACAGCTTTGCAGTCTGTCGCATTAGCCCACAGAGCCACACCAGGACTCCAAAGTGACTATAGTAAACTATAAAAATGTTTTAAAAGCAATATGTTGTTGTGGTTGTTATTAAGTACCGTGGAGTCGGTTCCGACTCAGTGACCCTGAACAGGGTTTCCAAGGCTGTAAATCTTTATGGGAGCAGAACACCTCATCTTTCTCCCGCTGAACTGCTGGTAGTTTCGAACTGCTGACCTTGAGGTTGGCAGCCCGACTTGTAACCACTATACTACCAGAGCTCCTTTTTTTAGAACACAAAAGAATATCAATAATTGACATTTCTGTTTCCAATTTAAAAACTAGAGAGTATAAATTAAATTGGGTTTCACAAAGAATGTGTTTAATGCAAGGAATACAACAATAAATGACATACAGAAAGTTTGCTTTATGCCTTTGTGTGTTGTTGTTGTTTTTAAAACGACAGTGATATGCAGGGTAAGAGTTGTTTTTGTTGTTAAGTGCCGTCGAGTCGGTTCCGACCCATAGTGACCCTGTAGAGGGTTTCCAAGGAGCGACTGGTAAGCTTGAACCACCAATCTTGCAGTTCAAACTGACTTTGCAGGCTAGAGCATTAACCCACAGCACCATACCATGACTCCGCAGGGTAACAGTAAATACCTTTAAAAGAGCTGGTATATAAAGCAGTCAATAATAATATTTAGAGAATGAGAATATGTCCTTTACTAAGAAAATAATCTATGTGATCTGAGTTTATTTTGTTCTTATCTATTGTATTTCTTATATTGTGTTCACTTTCTTTCAGTTTGAAATAATAACTAGTAATATTAATTCTTCTCTCATATTTATATGCATATATTATTCTTAGAAAACTGTAATAAAGAATAATTGATACAAAAAAATTCAAAATATTGAAACTATTGGCTTACCTCAAGGGAAAACATTTTCATTATAAACTTTGTAAAAATTGTTGTTTTTAATATATTCCTAGACAATTTCATATTCAGTATTATTAAAAAAGAAACTCATTTCAATGACTGTCATATGGTAAATTTTAAAAAATAAATCCTATAGCAATTGGAATTATGGTCTATTTATGATAAAATATTGAAGTTCCTTCATTGCATGTCATTGCCTAGAATGGATGAGTAACACATCAGTATGATATCTGGGGAAATAACTTCACAAAAATTTCAATAAGCATAATAGATCTTTCATGTAAAATATACTTTAATTTATTACTCTGAAATATCATACAAAATGTGCCAATTCCAGAATAAAACTGCTGGAACCTTTTTTACAGCAACTTCATTTCACTAAACAAGCAAGTAAGCACAAAACTTACCACATTCCAAATAAAGTCGATAAGTGGTTGCTGGTTCTCAAAATGTCTATACACAAATTATTTGGGTTTTTTTTATGTTGTTTTTAGTATTTCCATTTTTATTGCACTATTTGAGTCTATAGTTGGAAAACATAAGCACATTTATGTATATTTATATGTATATAAATGTGCTTTTATAAAATGTATCCTAAGTAGACTAGTCTTTCTACGACAATAAAAGTTGCCTGAAGTTATATTTCATCTTTTTTCACAGATGGCTTCTTTGAATATTGGAAGAGCAGGTGCCTGTGTGGTAGTTATCAAGCAACCTTGATTGACTCTTATTTGGGTGAATTGTATTTGCTGGAGTGGCTATTATATCCGAGGACAAGAATGAGAACTTATTGAGATGAAAATTCTTGAAGAATAAGAATTTCTGTAGATTCACATATTGATGTCAAAGATGGTAGAAAATTCAAATGGAACTATGGAAAACATCAACTGGTTTGAAGAAGAACATCTACCATGTAATAGTTACTTCAGGAATGGTTATTGGTAATTTGTTCTGTATTGTAGCATACAATAACTAGAATTACCAAAGGCTTGTTTTTCTTGATCAGTTAAAAGAAGAGCCCGATATTTGTGACATGAGTAATTTCAAGACTACAATTCATTCAATGACTTTATAATCTTTGATCGAATCTCCGAGGTAGCCAAGAGTAGAAGACAAGCTATTTTATCGAACAGGATCTGATTGGATTACTGTTTTCCTAATCACATGTGGTCATGCAAGGGAAAATAATGATGTTTTATTAAAACAAAGATGCTTCTTCCTCATTTTCCTAAGCTATAAGGACAATTAGATAAAGAGATTCCTGCTTGTCTCTTGCATTCAGAAAACAAATAGTCCTGCTAATAAAAGCTACATGTTTTATCTGAGATGATGGTTGAATTTGTTGCAATCTGAAGCTGGCACAAACAAAGGATCATTTTAGTTAGACTTGCCACATTGCTTTGCTTTATAAACACACTGAACCAAAGAATCAGTAAAATAATGGGCTTTTGCCTTATGTTGAAGTTCAGTGTAAGCATGGGAACTTGTCTTTCTGAATGTTATATATATAGCCATTGCATGTTGGAGTCCTTTAGAATTTTGTTCTTCAAAAGAAAAAACAAACAGAAAAAAAAACCCAGAATTTTGAGAGAAAAACATACGATATTTTAAATTGGACTATTTATGATCATCGTTAGAAAGAAGGCATTCCCTGCTTTTCGAAGTTGTTAATTGATATGCACATTATTTTAAGCCAAATGTTTGTAATTGTTTAAAGCATAAAATGAGAACATTGAAACAACGTCTTTAATAGACCCATGTGACTTTTAAATACGATTAATAAATGATAGAAAATTTGCTTTAATTGGTGTATTGTTCAATAACTTTTCATGCTGAACATTAAGAAGGTGTACCACTGAGAAATTTTATCTCCTGACTTTTCAAAATGTAAGAAGCAGATATCTATAGCAATATGTACATTCATTTCTGCTGGAATGTAATAATGCCCTTACACCAAATGCAATCTTTAATTATTGTTGTCTCCTAAAGTCGCTAAGTTGAGACAGTTAACATTAATGCCTACAAAATAGTCATCACATAATAACAGTGCTGAGAATGGTGCAGGAACTAGAAAAGGCAAGAAAATGCTTCTATTTAAATCAGTGTTACCTATGGAGCTCAGCTTAATTATTGGGTGCTGAAATAAGTTTAAAATAATTGCTACATGGATTTCTCATTTGCTGTAAATTTCTAACAACCAAAGAAAACAGTGGTAAAGAGATTTATCAAGAAAATACTGAGATTTTTCACGATTTCCTTTGAATTAAATGTATTAAGCACAATTTATTTCGAGAAAATAATGTCATTGTAAGTGTTTGGCACTGTAGGATCAGCACTGGACTGCTAATCTCAAGGTCAATAATTCAAACCAACCGGGTGCTCCTTGGAAACCCTACACAGGGTTGTTTTGAGTCAGAATCCACTTGATGGCATTTGACAACTACAATGAGAAACATTGCATGCCAAAGAGGTATCATGGATTTTGAAAGTCAACATCTTCAATGTATCTTCTGCTTCCTATTCTCATAAACACATAATTACATTTGTGAGGTATACCTCAAGGTTAAACACAGGAAGAGTTAATAAGTTATTACAAAGGAAGGAAACTGTTTTACTACAGTTCTACTTTAGAATACTTTTTGAAATTATGCAAGGCGTCAATTATCTGATTATTTTATACTTAAATTCTTGTTTAATGCAGGTTATCACTGGATTGCATTGAAATATTAACATTAAAAAGATTTTGAACATTAAACACAACTAAGTACATTCATACATTCCATTTACAGCTTATAAAATATGCTCAGTAATAGTACTGACTAGTGCTGAAGCCGTTTAAGATATTGCAAACTAAAACTTATTTAATTATTCAATTTGTAGTTAACAAAAAGTAAATTACTAGAGGTTAAAATGCTTTTATTCTCGACTCCTACCCAAAAAGTTGGCAGTTCAACCCTAACAGCAGCTTTTCAGTAGAAAAACCTGAAAACATAAAGCTTGCAGTGAAGAGTTCTACTTTCTCATATAAGATCTTTATGAATCAGAATTGACTCAACAACACACTACACAGCTACAAGAAAAAAACCAATAAATTGAATTGACAATATTGTATTCTTGATTGTAGATATCATTAGTCATTATTGAACACAGTTTTATATTTAGTCCTTTCCTTGCTTCTGTAAAGGAATATATCTTGTTCCAGTTCCTTCAACATCCTTTGGCTGGATTACTATGCATTCTCTTTCCAGTTTGAACAACTTCCTTGGCCCATATATTTTCTTCAACACATAGAACATAGATATAATATTATCTGACTAGAGTGGACATCTTAATTTACTACAAAGAATGTTGTTGTTAAGTGCTGTCAAGTCAGTTCCGACTTGTAGTGGCCCTGTATAGGGTTTCCGAGCAGGGGCTGTTAAATGTGATCCTTTGACCTTGCAGTTCAAATCGTCTTTGCAGTCTAGCAAATTAACCCACAGTACCACATCAAGAAAAAGAAGATAAATTTGCCTGTTTGTATCTACTTTTTTGTTTTTTAAAGTTGTTATTGTGTATTGAGTGAGTGAAGGCTTATAGAGCATATCATCAGTTTTATATTGCGCAAAACATTATAATGATACAATTCCCCTCCATGCACCCTTAGCCAATATTGTCTTTTTTTTTTTTTTTTTTTTTTAATGTACACAAGTCACGTTGAAAATACATATTCGTTTAAATGTCCAAAGGGCACATTTTTCAAGCCAGGCTCCTGCCTGTAAACACTCCCCTTTTCTCAGTCCATGGGCTGATATTCCTCTGTTGCTGTTTCCCTGTGCCATCACCTCCATTGTTGCCCCTTTTCTGACTAGGATCCCTCACTTGTCTCATGTTCTTCCCTTTTGATGGTACTAGGGCCCTCTGTTCCTGAAATGACAGATTAATTGCCCCCCCTTTTAATTGCACCTTTTCCACATTTATAGCTGTGACAATAGCCATTAGACCTGATAATAAACACTGGCAACTGAATCATAAAATCCCATTCCCCCATCACCAGATCTATATGGAGGAAAACTGTTCAGTAGGGTTTCTGTCTTACTTCCCTCATTCTGACACTAAGAACCTTCATGAAAGCTTGTAAGCCAGCCACTATGTGCCTTTATAGCCCTCCAATTTTGATAGCTGAAGGCTCAGTTGCCAGTCTCTATCATCCTAGTGTACTGGGACACATGCTTGATCCTTGATATGAAGAATCTTTCCTAAGGAGCAGCTGGTGAGCTTGAAGCACCAATCTTGCTGTTCAAACAGCTTTGTGGTCTGGCGCATTAACCCACAGTGCCACACCAGAACTCCTAATTTATGGTTGCTCGCTGTTTAATATTTCTTTATCTTCATCTGGTCAAAATCTGGTTATCAAGCCATCCACGCTAGGTCAAGTGGGTACTGTCTGCAAGTTTGGGAGTTCTCTTACACCTTCCCCCACCTGCTTCAGACCAGCTGGCTACTTCATTCTAACTCTAGTCCCCAATGGCTAGGTTAGTGTGCTTGGGCTCAGGACTTCACATGCCTTCTTGAACTTCAAGCCAGCCAGCCAATCCATCCTCTTCTCTCTCTCATCTCAAGGATATCAGGTATCTATGGAATATGGACAATCTCAGTCCATGTCTTCTTTGCTGCGTTTCCCACTTCCACTCACAAGTTGACCAGGTCAGTCAATAGTAAGTATACAAGGCTGTTCATGTGTTCTCCTTGAGTTTCAGTCTTAGAAAGGGTTTTGTCCTGATGGACTGACTTGCTTTGATAGCTCCAGGGGAAACAGATTGCTTGATATTGTCATAGTTAAACCATCTTTTTTTGTTGTTTTTGTTTTGTTTTCTTTCTTTCTCTCAAGAGATATCTTTTGTTCCTCTAGCCCTTCTGGATTGGTCTGCATGTCTTTTCAATTGGGAATGTCCCAACCCTGAAGATTCTGAGTGGGGATCAGAATTCCACCTAAGTCCCCATAGTCCACCAAGGCTTAACAAGAAGTCTGTTTCCCTGGGTGCGTTCTAGTCCCCTTTTAGATAATGCTATTAGTTATAGGCTGAAGATGGGATTACAAGCTTTCTGTAATCATATTCCCTGATATTCCTTTCTACCCACTTAAATGTCTATATGACACTATTAGTCAGGGGAAAACAATACCCACAAAACAGTCAAGCACCACAACATTATTTACCCTCCTTTACCCATTCAGACTATGTATTCGATCCCTATATAATAGAGCCTTGTTTATCCAAGGCTATGCATGCATCACAATCTACCTCTCTCTCATTTAGCCCATGCATCCCTCCCAAAATCTTCCCCTTACATCCCTGTTCCTCTACCCCAACCCCTATTGTGCATTGCCTTCCCCTTCCTATTTATTGCCCTCCCTGTCCCCAAGTTATCTTATGTCTATCCCCTAATTTGTAAATTACTGTCCCCTCCCTCCAATCCCTGATAACCCTTAAAGAATTATTCTTTTAGTATGGCAATCTTTTCTTAAGTTTTTGCAATAATGGACTTATACAATATCTGTCCTTTTGTGCCTGACTAATTTCACTCAGCATAATGTCCTCAAGGTTCATCCATGTTATGTGGTGTTTTGCAGATTCCTTGTTATTCTTCAAGGTAGCATAGTATTACATTGTGTGTATGCACCAGAGATTGTTTATACATTCTTCCACTGAAGGGCAGTTGGGCTGTCTCCAACGTTTTGCTATTGTTAATAGTACTGCAATGAACATTGGTGTGTATATATATATACTTATATTCTGACTTATATTTCTTGTGGATATATACCAAGTAGAAGAATTGTTGGATCATAAGGTATTTCTATTTCTGACTTTCTGAGGAAGCCCCATACCATTTCCCAGAGTGGTTAAAACAATTTGTAGTCTCACTAGCACTGTAGGAGGGTCCCCATCTCTCCTCACCAGGATTTGCTGTTCTTTGCTTTTTGAACTTCCCTGTTAACTGCTGGTATGAGTTGTTTTGATATGCATCTCTCTAATGGCTAATGATCACAAACATTTCTTCATATGTTTGCTTGTTGTCTGAATGTCTTTCTTGGTGAAGTGTCTATTCATGTCCTGTGTCCATTTTTAAGTTGCTATTATCCTCTTCACATAATGCAGTTTCTCAGATTAGTTGCTCAGCATACATGATCATGTATGGTGAAAGAACATAACCTTGGCTCACAACTTTCCTGATTTTAACACATTCAGTATATTCTTGTTCTATTTGAATAATTTCCCCTCTATCTTTGTACAAGTTCCTTATGAGCACAACCAGTGCTATGAAATACCCATTCTTCACTATGTTATGCATAGCTTGTTTTGATCAACACAGTTGAAAATCTTTGCATATTCAATAAGAAACAAATAAACATCTTTATTGTGTTCTCTGCTTTCAGCTAAGATTCATCTGACATAAACAATGATAACATAGTTCCATGTTCTCTTTAGAATCCTGCTTAAATTCTGGCAGTTTCCTGTTGGTGTACTGCTAAAACAGTGTTTGAATTTTCTTCAACAAAATTTTACTTGA